TTCTCTGACTCTGGCTACCCCCCCCAGTTGGTAACCACTGTTACACTTGTATATCCACTACCATGCTTCAATGTTGGAATAGTGTTGGTAGTCACTTTGACCTCATGGCTTGGTTTTATCTCTGATTGTAAGCTAAGAGGCTTTCTATTGAGGGTTCATGACTTTATTAGTGAGCTTAAATAAAGTTAATACGTCTCAGCATAGATTAAGACAAATGAGGGAAACAGAACTCTTTCAATTGTTGTTACTGTTGTTATGAAATGTGATGTATTTTTTACATAAAATATACAATTCAGTTTCCACTAATTATTGCGAACTGAATGTAGATTAAAGAAGAATAAATAAACATCTGCAGCATCAGACTGCAACGTAAATAAAAGTGAAGGGAGTCTGAATCTTTTCTGAAGCCACTGTGTGTGTTGTAAATGTTGTTCAGGAGCACACTGTGGCTTCACAGAGAGTTCTCAGCTGCCTTCTTCTGCTTCACACCAAAACATGTACTGTAAATATAACCTCAGAGACCAACAGCTGCTCACAGCAAGATTTATCTCGAGCATTTCACAATGTCCCCAGCAGGTGGTCATTGTCCAGTATTGGCTATTGACCTCTCTTTTCAAACTTGCAGTCCTTTGTTTTAGAAGCCTGACTGTATGGGTTGGTGGGATTAATTCTGTTTCCTTTCATTTGTATGAAGCGGTACAAAGTTGCAGTTTGTGTTGGGGTGTCTCATGTCCTTAGATATTTTTGACTCAGAGCTGAAATGTTGGCTTCCCAGTCTGACTGGATACTGAGGAATGTTTTAACCTAGATAACTGGTTTTCCTCAGTTTGTCCTGTTTGCAGGCTCCTCTTTATTTGTTTCCACTTCAACAATGTGCAGGTGCAGTAAGGACAGACATATGAAAATGTTTGGGCACCCTTGTTAATTTTCCTGATTTACCTTTAAAAATCATTGATTGTTTGGATAAAATAAATCAGTTAAATATAACATATAGAGGACAAACACAGTGATATTTGAGAAGTGAAATGAAGTTTATATGATTTACAGAAACTGTGCAATAATTGGTTAAACTAAATTAGGCAGGTGCATAAATTTGGGCACCAAAAAATCCTTTAACTCAACATTTAGTAGGTCCTCCTTTCACAGAAATAACAGCCTCTAAACACTTCCTACAGCTTCTAATGAGAGTCTGGATTGTGTCTGAAGGTATTTTAGACCATTCTTCTTTACAAAACATCTCTAGTTCATTCAGGTTTGATGGTTTCTGAGCATGGACAGCTCTCTTTAAGTGACACCACAGATTTTCAATAATATTCAGGTCTGGGACTGAGATGACCATTCCAGAACGTTCTACTTGTTCCTCTGCATGAAGGCCTCAGTAGATTCTGAGCAGTGTTTAGGGTGGTTGTCTTGTTGGAAGATGCAGCCCCGGCTTCAGCAGCTTCAGCTTTGTCACTGATTCCTGGACATTGGTCTCCAGAATCTGCTGATACTGGTTGGAATCCATGCGTCCCTCAACTTTAACAAGATTCCCAGTCCCTGTACTGGTCCCACAGCCCCACAGCATGATGGAACCAGCCCCACATGTTACTGTAGGTAGCAGGTGTTTTTCTTGTTCTGCCCAAATAACTCTATTTTAGTTTCATCAGTCCACAGCACCTTATTCCAACATGAAGCTGGCTTGTCCAGATGTGCTTTAGCAAACCTCAAGCAGCTCTGTTTGTGATGTGGGCGGAGACAAGGCTTCCTCTGCATCACTCTCCCATACTGCATCTCCTTGTGTAAAGTGTGCTGAATAGTTGAACGATGCACAGTGACTCCATCAGCAGCAAGATGATGTTGTAGGTGTTTGGTGCTGGTCTGTGGGTTGACTCTGACTCTTCTCAACATCCTTCACTTCTGTTTATTCCAGATTAGTCTTGGTCTGCCACTTGGAGCCTACACTTGAACTGTGCCTGTGGTCTAACATTTTCTCACAATGTTTCTCACAGTGGAGACTGAAAGATGAAATCTCTCAGATATCTTTCTGTATCCTTCCTCTAAACCATGATGCTGAACAATCTTTGTTTTCAGCTCATTTGAAACTTGTTTTCAGACTCCCATGCTGCCACTCTTCAGAGAAGATGCAAAGAGAAAACATACTATTGCCCCCCTTAAATACCCTTTCTCATAACTGGAGTTACCTGTGTATGGAGGTCAAAGGTCACTGAACTTACCAAACCTAATTTAAGTAACAATAATTAGTTTCTTAAGGTTTTGAAATCATCAAAACGACAACAGCGCCTAAATTTATGTGCCTGTCTAATTTTGTTTAACCAATTATTGCACACTTTCTGTAAATCATATCAACTTCATTTCACTTCTCAAATATCACTGTGTTTGTCCCTTATATGATATATTTAACTGATTTTTTTTATCCAAGCAATCAATGATTTATAAAGGTAAAATAGGAAAATTAAGAAGGGTGCCCAAACTTTTTCATGACTTTATCCTGGGCTCAGAGCCATCCACACTGTTGGAATTTATTTAAAGACAGTTTATTTTACAGATGTCACTAATATGAGTGATGTGGCCATTAAAAAAGTGATTAGGGTAAAATAAAAATCAAATCAAATAGTAAAGTCAAGTGCACAAATAAATTTTGACTTCTGGGTTTAGTCTTTTGATGACTCCTCCTGCATGAGAGACAAGATCCACCTTGATTTCCTTACGGCTCTGAATGTTGTGCAGCTATCTTTGTTGGCATGCCTTTGCAACATCGTGTGAACATTGGGGACAGTCGATAATAAATGGATGGATGAATAAATAGAAAAAGATATACTGAAATATAAACTAGTGATAAGGATTGTGTTTAGGTCAGCAGAGAAGTATTTTCTGGCCCTGACAGTCCACCAATGATGTGTAAATATATTTGTGTTTCCATGTTCAGGACAGACTCAAAACTTTGAGAATGCCTTTGAGCTGAGCAACATGCAGCTTTCCGGTATGCCTCTGGCTTTCTACTCTGGGATGTATGCCTACGCTGGGTGGTGAGTATGATCCTCACAAATATGTACAAACTGAAGCAAATAACAGTCCACAAATATACAAGTACATAACTTTACACTTGTGGCCTTATGTCCAAAGACTTGTGTGGATTTCTTACAGAACTGTGGCATACAGTCAAATCAAGAAAACAGAGTACGCACAAATAAATCCAGATGTATGAAACTGTGTGTATGCCAAAATCCAAGCACATTTATTTTGTACATGCCAACAAACTGAGCACACGTGTACCCATCCTGCTTTGTCCACCAGGATCAACAAGTGTAATTTTTAAATCAGGCCACAGACACAGGACTGCTTTTCAGATTTCTTTAGTGGAGATCTGGTAGAACAAACACCACAAAATGTTGTCAGTGTGTTTCACAACTGCATGCCTAGGTCCTCCCCCAGCTTCCATCATAGGTCTCTTTCTCTTCTTTTGTGATCGTTTAGTGGTAAATTAATGAACAATTTTACATTTCAGAGCAACACATTTTTTTCTCATAGACATCGAAAGTCCCCAAAAGGATAGAGAAACATGGTGTGTGTGTGTGTGTGTGTGTGTGCGTGCGTGCGTGTGTGTGTGTGTGTGTAAAGCAGCTGTTACTGGGGACGCAGCCACTGGAGCATTTCTGAGTGTAGGGGTCACCTCGAGTTAAATTATCAAGGAACTATCTTGTACTCTCAGTCCTCTGATGGGCCTTCAAAGAGACAAAAACTCTGTTCCACTTAGAACTGAATCTAGGCCACCTCAGGTCGCCTTAACCTCTCAAAGAGACATTCTCTTCCTTCTAAATCAGATAATTTACAGAAGAATCTTCATCTTATTTGATTTATTTTTCTCTTAACTGAAAGTATTACACATTTTGATAATCAGAGAATGTTTATCAAAGTTACAGAAGAGAGGACAGATCTCTTTCCTCCCTCAGTATGATTTCAGCTATGTATGGATTCTCTGTGGGAAAATTCTTATTTAACTAAACTAATCTTTATGGTTTAAGTTGATGAAATATCAATGTTTTACTTGTCTGAATCATATTTGCAAATGGTTTGAATTTGAAGCAATTCATTTTTCTTTCAGTTATGTTTTTAAATAAGTGCTCATCAGATAATTTAAATGGGTCATGAAATGTTTTGTTCTGAACCACACAGCAGCAGCAGTAATCTTTGTGTTAGTTTCAGGAACTTAGATTCTCTAAGCTTCTTAATAACCAACAGTTTCTGCCCGGACCGTAGAAAAGTGACGGACCGCCGTCAGTCACTCTGACAGCTAGATTCTCTTATATTACGTTCACACCAAACGCGTTTTGAGTGGCCAAAAAGTGCAAAACGTCTCTCATTGGACGCACTATTTTCAGACCGAAGAACGCACCAGTGTTCAGACCAGAACAAGCAGCAGCAGCAGCGAGGTGTGGGAGGAGTGTGTCCTCGGCAGGTGAAATAAAGATAAAATAAAAGAAAATGGCTTTGATTTATTTTACTAAAAAGCAAGCGAATGTTGCACACAGCAGATAACTCACCAGATGATTTAGAGGAGATTTGTTCGGGTAGTTTCATCACTCCAGAAGCTGCCAGCTGACGGACTATTTTTTTTGTCCCGAGCAGCTGATCCACATCGGTGCTGATATATCCTGTCAGAAAATCCACCTGCACACGGTCAATTTCAGGTGAAGATCTCCAGTCCGTCTGTTTCAGTTTTCAGTGGGAGACGCGTCGAGCAGCGAAAAGTTCAGATGTTTGAACTCTGGCAGCGGCTCGGGTGGCGGCGGATTCCGCAGCACCGCATGCGTGGAAAACACTCTGCACCCCTTCTGCCTTCCTTGCGCACCGCCCAAAACGTACCTGACGCGACGCACGACCCCTAGAGGCGCCTCCACCATAGATTTTACATGTGAATCGGCCGCTCCTGCCGCTCAAAACGCGTTCGGTGTGAACGTCGCATTAGGGCAATCAAAAAGCTGAAAACTGTGTCAGGTTTGGCCCCTTCACGCCAGCGGGGAAACCTCACAGTGTGGAAAACCAACGCCTGGTTTATCCACCTTCAGAAACTCTCCAGACGGAAGTTTTATTCTGAAAACCTGGGTTCCAGAAGAGGCTTTGCCTTCTTTTACGGCTGATGTGGATGCTAAGCGAGTCTGAAAAACACGCCTTGGGGTTCCCTGTTTGACGATCCTGAAGACGGATTCTTCAGCAGCACCCCCACCTACCTGACAGGTGACAGAACATCGTCTCAAAGTAAAAAGCTGGCTGTGTGTGTGACGTCGATGTCTGACCAAAGTCGAGCACAGAATTTACACCAAATTTCCCTCTGGGATCAATAAAGTATTTTTGAATTTGAATTGAACGCTTCGCCCTTCTGCTTAAAACCCACATTATTTAAGATAAAAGTTTAAGAAAGCTAAAACCTTACTTTCCTCCTTTTTTCTTAAACTCTTCCTTGCCAGCCCTAAGATACAGCCTCAAATGTCTGGTATTTAACATCTAAGCTGACGTTTGTGTTTCTATTTAAAATGGCTGATTGACAATTAAGAAGCTGAAAGCTTGTTATTGTTGATTTGATTTGATTTATTTATTTAACAGGAAAAGATTATTAAAAATCAAGCCTGACTCAGCATAATTGCTGTTTTACAGCAGGTTCCTGTTCTGCAGCACATAAACACTCAGAATTACAGCATCACAATCACATCATTATACACCATAGACACAAAGACAAACAAGCATACCAGAACCCAAAACCTTTTATAGGAAATTAATTGTTCACAATCAAGTGTACTCTAGTGATTCTGTATGATTTGTAAAATAAATGATAACAGTTTTTATGGATCAAATCAACATTCACTGACTGAGAGTTACTTCTTGTGTGTCCATTCATTTTGCACTAGAGGAATGTTTACCCAAAATAAAAGAGATCCCTTGCTAAATAAATTACTCTTATGACCTTGTTATGAGAAGTGTAAGACTGAACCCTTTTTTTTCCGCACGAATTTGTTAACATAATACCTGTACACACAGAGGAGCTCAGGGTTTTGGTAGTTTGTAGAACTTTATTTATTAAATATCATATAAGAAAAACAATCACTGAGCCACAGTGGAAAGATTTCTCTTTGTTGTTGAGGATTTATATTTTGGAATAACATGGATGGCTTTCCAACCCAACACACCGTCCAACTGAATCCCTAAGTATTTATAAAGTGACACCTGTTGAATTATAATGTCCTTTTGATTACGCTCATGGTCAGAGACATTTCAAGGTTAAACTTCAGTGCTTCTGTTTTTTTCTTGTAAGCAAACTGGTTGAGTTGTGGCTCAACTTCTTTCTTGGAGAATGGCTTGAATTTATATAGCGCCATATAAAGGAGCTTACACTTCAGATATTCACCCATTCACATACACATGCACACATGAGGGTAAGCTCCAGCCACAGCTGCCCTGGGGCACACTAACCATGTTTCCATCAAGTATTTTTAATGCACATTTAGAAGTGTCGCATTAAAAATATGACAAAAAGTCAGACGGAAACAGCAAAATTTGAAAAAAACCCTTAAATTCGCTAAAAAGTTTTTACACTCACCTGAGGTGGTTTTTGGATGATTTGCAAAGTAGTTAATGTGCAAAAGAGGAGATGGAAACATGTTCGTTGAATAAATTCTAATGTAGCGCATATTTACCTCACGTGACGTTCAGCTGTTTCTGCTTTCCTGCCTCATCCCGGATGTTATCATAAACGTGCGAAAACATGGCTTTAGTTCCCTACGTCTCCTGGCAGCGTTAAACATAGCCTGTACTAGCTGAATAGATAGAATAATTACAACTTGACCAATAGCAAGGCATTCATTAGCCTCTGCTAGTTAGCAAGTTTCACTTCCTGTTTACTACCGCAAAGCTTGTCGCCAACGTCTGACGTAATCACTTGTTGCGTAGCCTCGTCTGAGGTAAACACGCGTTGTGTAGCCTCGTCTGAGGTAAACACGCGTTGCGTAGCCTCGTCTGAGGTAAACACGCGTTGCGTAGCCTTGTCTGACGTAAAAATGCGTTGCGTAGCCTCGTCTGAGGTAAACACGCGTTGCGTAGCTTCGTCTGAGATAAACACGCGTTACGTAGCCTCGTCTGAGGTAAACACGCGTTACGTAGCCTTGTCTGACGTAAAAACGCGTTGCGTAGCCTCGTCTGACGTAAAAACTCATTGCGTAGCCTCGTT